TCAGTGCAGCACAAGCTGCAGCTGTCCGACGTACTGATACTCTCGGGCAGACTCTACAATGCGGCTACGTGGTCGAGCCCGACCGCTGCGCAGTTTAAGAAGTATCGTGCTGGCACCATCCGCATCTATTGGGCTGCGCTCGGACGGCCGGCCTATGATGAGGATGCTGAGACAGACCAGGCCATTTTGGCACTGGCTAACAAGTGCGACGTGGATATTATGATGCGATGGCACCGTCTCCGTTACCTTACCCGTCTTTATAGGCACGTTCCTGGGGCTCTCTTTGGGCTGATTCGAGCTACGTCCGAGCCGAAGCACGCATGGTTCAACATGGTTTTGAATGATTTGAGGTGGCTACGTACTCGGGTTTCTCGGCTTCGTGAGTTTCCAAGTCCGTTTTCGGAGTTTGGGCCATGGGGGAAGGAGATCACGGGAAGGGGGCAGCACTGGGCGAACTTGGTCAGATCTGGAATTGAATCGCATATCCGCTGGGCCAGTCGCATCGAGGATGCCAAGCGACGCACGCAGGAGTTTGTTTCAGCACGCTGCTAGTATTGGAGTGCCGCAAGATCTGTCGCTGCGACCTGCTCCTGTGCCTGTTGTGCATCGCTGCCCCTTTTGCCCGTTCCTGTCCCCGAAGTGTGCAGCAGTCAAGTCTCATATTGCCCGACTACAGCATGGACAACGTGATGTTGCTGCCAGATATATACACAGTAGTACATGCCCTATTTGTCTGATTCGGTTCAGCTCTGTGGAACTAAGCATTGATCACCTGGCGCATGGCAACCCCAATTGCTTCATGTCGGCCCTCCTGTTCCTGAACCCTGAGGCTTCGGAGGTATTGGAGGAGGCGCGTGCTTTGGAGGCTTCTGAGAGGAAACGGGCCCGACGAAAAGGGGCCATGCGTCGGGGAGCCTGGCTCCCCGCCTATCGAGTGCCTGGACCTCGGAATGCCCCCCAAGCCTCCCAGTTGCCCTATGTGGAGGCCTGGCAGGTCATACGTAGTATGGAATACCAGTACGTAGAGGCCCCGGAGCCCATCTTGGAGGTCCAGAGTGAAGTACCCCGACGTGAGCCCCCTCTGGAAGATGAACATGAATTTGAACCTCTAGCCTATGACGGACCAGCGGCTGAGCGCTGTCCACGACCACTGCAGTATGCTGTGCTTGCCTTTTTACATCTGTTCTCAGGAGCACGGAGGACAGGAGATGTGCAGGAGGAGCTCGAGCGTGCACTGGCCCATGGGCCCGTGACTGTCATTGCCAGTTCCTGCGATGTGGCATGTGATGAGGCGAATGGTGACCTTACCCGTGAAGATAGTGTGCAGAAGTGGGATGAGCTCCTGAGATCAGGCCGTGCTATAGGACTCATAGGAGGCCCGCCATGTGAGACATGGTCAGCTGCGCGATGGCAGGAGCTACGAGTTGCTGATCGATCCCGCCCCCCTGCCCCTCTTCGTACCCTTAAACATAGATGGGGACGTCCTGATGTTCCGAGTCGTCAACATTTGCAGCTCTCAATTGGAACGCAGCTCCTGCTGAGCCACTACAAGTTGATGCTGACCTGCCTGGAGGTTGGCGCGCGCGCACTGAAAGAGCACCCTGAGGAGGCCCATTGGGAACCTCGGGCCCCCAGCTCGCGGCAGACTGCAACGGCGCGGGCCTTGTGTGCTGCCCCTCCCCCCCGAACCTTCAGTTTCGATCAATGTGTTTTCGGACAGACCAGTAAGGCCCCAACGACGTTCCTTTGCATAAGACTCGACTCCATCGGGGGCGAAATCCAGGGACTGGGAAGAGGGGGGGGATGCGACCACCCAAAGAACACCCACACTACCCTACTGGGCATTGATCCTGATACAGGAAAATGGAGGACTGCTCCCAAGAAAAGAAACCCTCAGGCGCTATGTGCAGCAATGGGACGCGCAGTATCAGAGTTTGTTTCTGAGGCTTATCGGCTAAGCGACCGTGAAGCCCTGGATCCCACAGATCTTCCTGATGGACTGAGCCAGTTTTTTTTCTTCGGGCCCTCGACTCCCATGCTGCTGCAGCACCCAATGAAGATATTGCACTTGGCTTTGCTGGTTTCAGCGATCGGGGGCCCAGGGGCAACAGATTTGACCGCCCTGCTGCCCCTCTTGCCCCCCAGGACCGTGGCGGCGCGCCGTGTCCTGAGCCCCTTCCTATGCCCCAGGTGGTTGAGGGCGGGGATTTCTGACCTGACGAACCCGACCCCTGGGCCGAGGAGGGAATGCTGAGGACTTTAGAGGCGTCTGGGGACCCCCGGCCCCCCCCCCCCCCCCCCCCCCCCCCCCCCCCCCCCCCCCCCCCGCCCGAGTGGAGCTCACCGCCGAGCTGCGGCAGGCCATCGCCCGCCGCCGAGAGCTGGCGAGGCACCGCCGTGGTCTTCGGCGGGCCGTTCCAGCATGAGGCCTCTTTTCTGCGGCGAGGTGATGGGGTCCCTCGTTGCTCTCTTCTTGTTGTCATCAGTGTGCTCGCATAGTGATTGTACATGTTGTGTGATAATATCACTCGTGTGGCTGCCCATGAGCCCTCATTGTCCAGAATGTCCAGTCCAGAATGTCCTCCTCCTCCTCCTCCTCCTCCTCCTCCTCCTCCCCCTCCTCCCCCCCCCCCTCCTCCTCTGCATCCCCCCCCCCCACCCCGCCCCCACCCCCCACACACACACACACACACACACACACACACACACACACACACACACACACCACCCCCCACCCCACCCCACCCCACCCCCCATCCGCCTTCACCCCCCCTTCCCCTCCCCCATCCTCCCACAGCGGCAAAGAAAAACAAAGGAAAACCCAGGGACATAACAGGTGTGTTGCAGAAGAATAACAAAAACCTAAGGAAAACAACAAACACATAAACCAAAGGCTTGGAATGGAAAACGAAGCAAAAACGCAAGGAAAAACCCGAAACAAACACCAAAATCTGGCACCCTTCTCGGTGGAGCGTAGGGGTGGGAAGGGTAGGTCGGTGAATCTTTGTTTTTTTTGTTTTCCCTTATGTGTTACTATGGTTTTCGGCTCCAGCCCTTTGGTTTCTTTGGTTTGGTGTGGTTGTTCCTTTGGTTTTCTTTGGTTTTCCTTGCCGTTGTGGAAGGAGGAGGAGGACGAGGAGGACGAGGAGGACGAGGAGGACGAGGAGGAGGAGGAGGAGGAGGAGGAGGAGGAGGAGGAGTTGGAGGAGGAGGAGGAGGAGGAGGAGGGGGAGGAGGAGGAGGATGTGGAGGGGGGAGAGGAGGGGGAGGGGCAGGAGGAGGAGGAGGAGAAGGAGGAGGAGGGGGCAGCTAACGCCAGCTAGCACGCTGCGCCCCGACCGAATCTCAAGCAGTTCGCTGCGCCACTCCCTGTTTTTTTTCCCCAGCTATGGGGAACCCAAAGCCAGGCACTGAGGCTTTCGAGCGGAAGCGAGAGCGGAACCGCCGCTACAACGAGAAAAAGAGGGAGGAGAAGAAGGCGCCGCAGGTGCGGCTTTCCAATAGCTTTCCAAAGGATTCCTTATGTGAGGCTTTCCAATAGAATTCCGTTGTGGTGCTTTCCACAGGATTCCTTTTATACGGCTTTCCCATCGAATCCCTTTGTGGTGCTCAAAGGATTCCTGCTGTGAGGCTTTCCAATAGAATCCCCTTGTGGTGCTTTCCAAAGGATTCCTTGCGCGAGGCTTTCCAATCGAATCCCTTTGTGGCGCTTGCCAGAGGATTCCTTTAATGAGGTTTTCCAATAGAATCCCGCTGCGGTGCTCTCCAAAGGAATTATTTTTTCCGCGGTTTTCCAATAGGATCCCTTTGTGGTGCTTTCCAAAGGATTCATTGTGTGAGGTTTTCCAATAGAATGCCTTCGCGGTGTTTTCCAAAGGATTCCGTGTGTAAGGCTTTCCAATGCAATTCCTTTGTGATGCTTTCCAAAGGATTCCTTTTTGTGAGGCTTTCCAATAGAATCCCTTCGTGGTGCTTTCCAAAAGATTCCTTGCGCGAGGCTTTCCCATAGAATCCCTGCGTGGTGCATCCCAAAGGATTCCTGCTGTGAGTCTTTCCAATAGGCTCTTACATCAGGCCGAGGTTGAGGCTTTCGATATCAGTTCTGACATCAGGCTGAGGTTGAGGCGCGATGACCTACGAACCCCCCTTTGGATACGTCCGAGGAGGAGGAGGAATGCGAAGAGGAGGAGGAATGCGAAGAGGAGGAGGAAGAGGGAGGAGGAGGAGGAAGAGGAAGAGGAGGAGGAGGAGGGTGGAAGAGGTTTGAATGGTTTACGCCCGCTGCCATTTTGCAGGGGGGGCCCTTTCACCCCCGAACCGTTTTTTGTTGCCATTTTTCCGGCGAGGCGACAGAGGAAAATGTTGCCACAATATTTTAACTTCATACAACGTGGCTGCCACCAGCAGCCAGCAACAAGTGGAGGCCCATCGAGCAACAGGTCGAGCACCATATGTCTGCAGCGCGCCGGAAAAATCGAGACTTTCATGTTTGGTTCCTGTCTCAGGCTCTCCGTCCTTGGACGAAGGCTCTCAGTATCTACCTGCGCATTTTCATCGGACCGCAAGTCTTGACGTTTCGCGCAATTATCCACACCAGCGCATCCAGAAACGATCCCAGGCGAATTGCCTTGATCATTGAAGCGGGGAAGCAGACAGAAGAACAAAGACCTGGAGAAACCGTCGTACACCAAAAGGGGGAGAAAGGAGGAGGAATCGGAGGAGGAGGTGGAGGAGGAGGAGGAAGAGGAGGAGGAAGGAGAAGAGGACGCCGGGGGCCTCCTGGAACGTTTTGGGCACCGCGTTTGCCGCCGCTGCCGCTTTCATTCGGCACGAGCGCAGGAGGAGGAGGAGGAGGAGGAGGAAGAGGACGGAGAGGTTGAAGTGGAGGTTGACGAGGACGAGGAGGAGGAGGAGGAGGAAAACAAAAAGGAGGTGGGGGACCCAAGGGTTCTTGAGGCCTCGGGTCACCGTCGGGCGCCCCCCGCTCCCCCTTCCCAGAGGCCGCGGGGCCCGAGGTTCACGGGCCCCGGCCCGCTGGCGACGCGCGCGGCTGCAGCGGCGGGGCGCGGCGGGGGGCATCCTTTCCCATTATTTTCCTTCTCATATTCCTCTCCCTCCTCCTCCCCGTCCTTTTCATCCTCCTCCACTTCCTCCTCTTCCTCCTCCTCCTCAACCTCCTCCTCCTCCTCTTCCTCCTCCTCTCACCCCTCCTCCTCCTCCTCCTCCTCCTCTTCTTCTTCTTCTTCTTCTTCCTCCTCCTCCTCCTCCTCTTCCTCTTCCTTTTGGTTGTTTGTTGCTGCTGTTTTTGAATCCGGATTCCCAGAAGTAATTATTGATGACCCCCCCGGTGGCCATTGTAGCTCTTCGAGCCAATAATTTTCCGAGGGCTCGAATCCTGTTGTCGTTGTCCCAGAAAGTGTGTGGTCAGCAAGTTGCGCCCATGGCCCCCGGTTTACAGCAACAAAACGATCAGCAGCAGCAGCAACAGTAACAATGATTTTAAGGCTGTTCGCGCTTACCTGCTCGAGTGCCATTCAACGTGTATTTCCCGAACTTTCGATGCCCTCTTTGTCTTCGATCGGAACCCCTGTTGGGGGGTGTTTAATTTTCTTCCCTGCTGGCTGGGCCCCAGCAAGCGGCGGGGCGGCCGCGGACCGTCGGCCTGGCCAGCGGCAACAATGACTGGCGGCAACCCGACCCCAAGAGGGACGGACAGGAGACCGACCACGACGACGACGACGACGACCGAAAGCGAGAGCGATAGCGACAGCGGAGCCACGTAGGGCAGGAAGGGGGCCACGAAGGGCGACAGCGGAGCCACGAAGGGCATGCGGATGGGGCCACGACGGGCGCGAACGAGCGGGGGCCACGAAGGGCATGCGCAGATTGGGCCGCGGAGGGCAATGACGGGGCCACGAAGGGCAGCGAGGGGGCCGCGAAGAGCGACGGCGGGGCCACGAAGGGCGCGCATACGGGGCCACGGCAGGCGCGAAGAGCGGTGGCCACGAAGGGCCTACATATATGGGCCCACGAAGGGCAGCGAGGGGGCCACGAAGGATTGCAACAGCGCCGCGAAGGGCAGCGAGGGGGACACGAAGGGGCGCAGCGGGGCCACGAAGGGCAGCGAGGGGGCCACGAAGGGGTGCAACGGGACCACGAAGGGCTGCGAGGGGGCCACGAAGTGTTGCAACGGTGCCACGAAGGGCAGCGAGGGGGCCACGAAAGGGTGCAACGGCGCCGCGAAGAACAGCGAGGGGGCCACGAAGTGCTGCAACGGGGCCACGAAGGGCAGCGAGGGGGCCACGAAGGGGCGCAACGGGGCCACGAAGGGCAGCGAGGGGGCCACGAAGTGTTGCAACGGGGCCACGAAGGGCAGCGAGGAGGCCGCGAAGGGCTGCAACGGGACCACGAAAGGTTGCGAGGGGGGCACGAAGTGTTGCAACGGTGCCACGAAGGGCAGCGAGGGGGCCACGAAAGGGTGCAACGGCGCCGCGAAGAACAGCGAGGGGGCCACGAAGTGTTGCAACGGGGCCACGAAGGGCAGCGAGGGGGCCACGAAGGGGCGCAACGGGGCCACGAAGGGCAGCGAGGGGGCCACGAAGTGCTGCAACGGGGCCACGAAGGGCAGCGAGGAGGCCGCGAAGGGCTGCAACGGGCCCACGAAGGGCAGCCACGAAGGGCTGCAACGGGGCCACGAAGGCCAGCGAGACCCCAAGTTCTAAGTCAGCTGCGAGGGAGTCCTATGCAAGAGCGCGACACTTGGGCGTGTGAGTGTCGGGAGCGCGGCGCTTGAGTAAATTGCGGGGAGCTCCAACGCAAGAGCGCGGTTCCGTAGTAAATTGCAAGCAAGTCTCCAGCGAGAGCGCGGCCCCAGAGCGCCGAGAGCGCGATTCTGGAATAAAGTGTAAGGAGGTCCCAAGCGAGAGCGCGATTCCCGAGTAAAACTCTAGGAAGTCTCAGGTGGGAGCGGGGTGGTCTTGGCTAAGTTGTGACGATGTCTCAGGCGGTAGCCGTTGTTGCTGTGATCCCAGGGCCAACAGCCCAGTTTGAGTTTAGATGTTTTCCCTGATAAAATCCGGGTGCGAGCCCCAGGGGGGCATTTCAATCTATGAACACACATTAGTCATCGGAGAGGGGATCAACAATAAGTATTCTTCCGTAGTGAGCGTTCAACAACAGCGGTTTTTGCCTGATATTCCCCCACAATATATTTGGAATTGGCGCTCCCGTGAGGGACCTCCTAATTGATCCAGGAATCGCGCTCTCGAATTGTATTTATTTACATTGTATTGCTGGTCCGTGCCCCCAAGACTCACAGAACACGCGCTCGCTTTTGACTTCCTGGCGGTGCACTTGGGAATCACGTTTTCGCTCGAAATGTCCTTCATGATGGGTTGGCGCTGTAGCGACCCGCCCGCACAACCTGGCCGCCTGGGCCCGCCCGCCCGACCTGCCCTTTAGAGTTTGCCCGCCCGACACGCCAAGCTGGTTTTGCCGGTTGTGTTCCTGCTCCGATGCTTGTCTTGCAAATGTCTCTCGTGGTCATTTGTTCCCCTTCTGTCGTGTCTCTTCACTCCTCCACCCTGCCCCTCTTTGAGGGATTGCGCCACCTGCACGCGGCAGGTAAGGAATATATGTATATCCCCAAGAGGGGACACGATCGCAAACGAAGAGGGCGTGTACCGAGGGTTTGAGATATACGTGTTGGTTGGCACGCGAGCAAATAAGAGCGAACAGCCTTAAAATGATTGTTGGTGATGCTGCTGGTGGAGGTAGTGTTCCTATGTTGTTGTTATTGATGTTGTAGGTGTTGATGTGGTTGTTGTTGCAGTGGCTGTGATTGTTGTTGTTGCTGCTGCTGGTGATGTTGTTGGAGTTGTTGCTGTTGGTGGTAATAGTGTTGGTGCTATTGCTGGGCTTTCAATTCTGCCGTATAATTATTGTTGATCCCCCCGGTGACCATTGTATTGTTTCAATTCGGGTGTTCTTCCGGGGCTCGCACCCTATATATATATATATATATATGCATTTTTTTTTATATATATATATATATGCATGCATACGTACATACATATATACATACATACATACATACATACATACATACATACATACATATATACATACATACATACATACATACATACATACATACATACATACATACATACATACATATACATACATACATACATACATACGTACGTACGTACGTACGTACATACAGACATACATACATACACACAGACATACATATACATATACATAAGAGTCTGCGGTCACCAAACTGCGCCCCTGGCCCCCGGCTTATGACAACAACAGAAATATCAACAATGATTTCAAAATCGCGCTCTCGCGCGGGACATCCTCATCATTTACCCAGAAATCGCGCTCTCGCGTTGTATTACCTCACAATATCTCCTGACACCGTGCCCCCAAGACTCACAAATCATGCTCTCGCTTTGGATGTCTGGCGATTTACTTGGGAATCGCGTTATCGCTCGAAACTCTTTCATTATGGGTTGACGTTTTAGCAACCCGCCCGCTCGACATGGCCGTTTCGGCCCCCGCCCGACCTGCCCGTTAGGGTCCGCCCGCCCGACCCGCCTGTCTGGTCTGCCGCTTGCACTCCTGCTCCTAGTCCTCCTCGTGCAAATCTCTCTCTTGCTCCATCGTTCTCCCTCCCCCTTGTCTCTTCCCTCCTCCCCGCCTTCCCTGTTTTAGGGGCTGCGCCAACTACACGCGGCAGGTAGGGAAGATATACCCCCAAGAGGGGGCAAATTCGAAAACACAGAGGGCGGGTATCGAAGTTCGGGATCTATGTGTTAAATGACGCACGAGCAGATAAGAGCGAACAGTCTTAAATTGTTTGTTGATGTTATTGCTGCGGCTGTTGCTGATGATGTTGTTGTTGCTGGTGGTGCTGGTGCTGGTGCTGGTGCTGGTGTTGGTGTTCCAGTCCTGCTCCTCCTCCTTCTCCTCCTCCTCCTCTATTCGTCTGTCTTGTGCATAATGTATCCCCGCACCCCCAGGCCAGTTTTTTTAGGGCGGGCCGGGCGTTTCGCCTGAGACTTCCTCTCCATGTATTATTCTAAGTTCGAACATTGGCAACCGTGTCACAGATGGAGGGCGGGTGGTTTTCAACATGTGGCTCTCGCCTTAGCCCCGCGCACATTCGCTTTAAACATTCGCAAGAGTTCCACGGATTGAGGGCGACCCGTTTTCAAAATGTGGTTCTCGAAATAGCGCCGTGCACATTCGTTTTAGAATTTGCCAGAGCTTCACGGAGTGAATGCAGTCCGTTTTCAAAAGGAGGTTCTTGCCTTAGCGCCGCGTGCATTCGTTTTCAAACCTAACAAGAGCTCCACGGATTGAAAGCTGTTCCTTTTCAAAATGTGGTTCTCGCCCTAGCGCCGCGCACATTCGTTTTGATAAAATTCGCAAGGCGGATCCCCATGATCACGTACCAGAAATGGTGCTTTGGAAGGAGTTTGGGTTTTGCGGGTGTAACAGTTTCGTTGATTAGCGGTGTTGAAATCCCAAGAATGGCGTTCTGGCACGATCCAGGGTCGTCACGACGCAACAGTCAGGTTGATCCGTGGCGTTGGAATCCCGAGAACAATGTTCTGGCATGCCTCAGGGTCTTCAAACGATTGTCTTCCAACAAAGCAGTTCCCTCAATGGAAATGAACCGTTGTAGGGGCCTATGAAGAGGGAGCTTGGAGGGAGGGTGTATTCCAACATGGTTGATCGCTCTTGGGTTTACACTGGTCCTCCTCCTCCTCCCCCTTCTTCTCCTCTTCTCCCCCTCCTCTTCCTCCAGACCCTTTCGTTCTAGACCATTTCCCCCCGTCTCGCACCACGAGGCGCATCCGTAGGCCGTGCCCGAAATTTCGACCGCGACCCTTTCGCGACGTATGGCTCAAGAGGCCTACATCATTCCACCGAAAAGAGGCTGATGTCCGGCCTCCGATGTCGTATGTCTTGTTGTCAGCGCGCCCGGTAAAGACGCGCGCTTTCGTCTATGGTACCCTCGTATCCTTGCCTCTGCGGCCCAT